GCTGTTCCCAGCAGCTTCGTGCTGCTCCAGGTCCTCCGGGCCGGCCATCATCACCATGCGGAACGACACCCTCCTCTCCCGCCTCCTTGAGGAACCGGTTAGGGACGAGGAGTTCAGAGACTTAGCCATGGCTTTCCTGCTACGCAGGCGGACCGAGATGTGACGGACGAGTCCGTAGCCAATGGGGCCTCTGGGAACCGACCCACAAGAGACTCACCACCCTGCAGCCTGAGGGACACGGGCCACACATGAGGTTCACTGCATCTGACCCTCAACGGCCAGAGGAAAAGGAGCCGTTCACAGCCCTACTCTCGCCCAGAGAAAAGTGAGGGCAGAGCTGGAGTTACTGTAATGCAGCGATTCTCAGAGTGTTGCCCAGGAACCCCAAGGGGTCCCGAGGTCAAAGTCACTTCTCCAGTCACCGAGACACTAGCCACACCAGACAGAGTCGGTTCGGCTGTTCAGGCTCCCGCAGGATGTAGATTTACAACGAACAGAAACACAGAGTGCTTGCTGGACAGGCACGGTTTGGAGTACGTGACGTGATCAGCCTAACGCTCAAAGCACCCCTACGAGGCAGTACTATGATCCCAGGCTACAGATGAGAAGACCGAGGCCCAGGGAGATGAAGAAAATGACCCGAAAGTCACGGGCTCAGGGAGGGGACAGAGGTGGTCGCAGGTCTGCACTGTCCGCCCCACGAGGCACCTCCCACCCATCGTGTGCCCGTCAGGGCCTGGTGAGTAGCTTCAAACAGCATCACTGATCTGAAATTTCTTTCTCTCACTTTAAAAAGTTTCTCAATTTTACTGCATTTAGTAAAACAAAGTGACCTAAACCCTACAGAAGCAGGATGTTCCTGAAGCCAAGCAGAACCTCCCCCCGTCCTCCCCCCCCCCCCCCCCCCACGCCCACATCCCCCACCCCCTTCCGCACTTCCCGCCACGTGGTCTGGCAAACCCTGCAGGCGTTCCTTCTCTGGAGAGTTCGGCGGCCTGACTCTCCTCAGTCCGGGACCCCTGCCTCTGCCCGAAGGTCCCAGACGCCACGCAGACAGAGTCAGGCTGCCTTAGAGGCGCTTCCCATCCTGGGAACTCGTGAAGCAGATGGTCTGCGAGACGGGAGCCCCACCTCTGGACTGTCCCTCTGGCCCCCCTTCCCTGGGAATGAACACTCCATGGGCCTCATCCCTGTCACCAACTTCCAGTGCTGGCGGAAAGGAAGAATGTTAGTTGGGCCCTGGCCGGTAGCTCAGTGGGTTGGAGCATCTTGCCGATACGCCAAGGTTGCAGGTTCGATCCTCATCAGGCTCATACAAGCAGCACCAATGAATGCATCAGTAAGTGGAACAACAAGTTGATGTTTCTCTCTTTCTCTCTCAAACCAATAAAAAAAGACTGATAACGTTTGTATAAATTGAACTGCTGCATAATTTAGTTTTAGTTTTGTTGGAAGGTTCTTGGTTGCTGCCCGGAGCCATACTCCAAGCTGACAGGATAAATACGCTAGAAGCCTTTAGAACAATAAGGAGTACGGGGTCCTTGCTGGCCCCGTGAGAATGACATTTACAATTTCTAAGTGACTTGGATGTTCACTTTCGCTGGCAATGCCATCGACTGAACAAAAGGCCTCCACCACCACGGCGCTCACCCAGCCGACACGCCCACCACGACCATCGCTTCCGTTGTCTCTCAGATGCGTTAGAGGACAGCACTCGGCCTCTGCTGGCTGAGGAGCGTTTCCCTGGCTGTCAGCAGGCCCCACACTGTGGCTTCTCACACTTTCCTCCTCCATCTTATTTTCAGGGGCATTAACATCACTTCACCCGTACACTCTGTCCCAACACCTTCGGGGGAAATGACAGGAAATGCCTGGAGCAGCAGCCAACCGCAATGCCTGCACCGACAACAGGTTTTTAACTGAATGTGAGCACGCCTTTCTGTGCTGAGGGACGCGGGAAGGACTGTTTTACAACAAAGAAGGGACGTCCTTCATTTCCAAAGACCAAGCTTTCCTGCAGAGGAGGTCCCACAGGTTTAGAAAACTGGCAAACCGTGACCACTTGAGAGCCCCGCTTGCCAGTCCACGCTGCCGGGGCAGAATGTGGAGCACACTCGACGGTGAACGTGGGGAGACTGCCCAGCTGGTGCGGCTCAGTGGGTAGAGCATTGACCTGCAGACTGAAGGGTCCCCGGTTTGATTCCGGTCAAGGGCACACGCCTGGGTTGCAGGCTCAATCCCCAGTAGAAGGCATGCAGGAGGCAGCCAACCAATGATTTCTCTCATCATCGATGTTTCTATCTCTCCCTCTCCTTTCCTCTCTGAAATCAATAAAAATAATTTTTTTTAAAAAGTGACTCACAAAACAAAGTGTGTAAAGAGGGCTCGTGCTTCATCCTTCTGTTCAGTCCTGCACGGGGTGCCCGGGGTGAGGATGTGACAATGACCTCGCCCACGACTGGGCCCTTCACAAAGTTCAACACAGCCAACTGCAGCTCCATCAGAAAGGAGCAGAACCCTCAGAACGCCCTGGGCTCCAAGGCCACGCCTTTAAGACGTCATGTGACACATGTAAGGCACAGGGTCCACGAGAAGAAGTCTGTAGAACCGCGGAGGTCTGAACAGAAGCGCTTGTCCGTTGTCAGGCCTGTCTGTCGACTCCCTGGGGGCACACTGTCGCACGTTTGCTACCTCTGTCCACATCACGCCCAGAGCTCATGCCCACGTCGGCGGAGGAACAGAGCACAGTGCGTCCCACCTGCTCCGTGACTCCGCCTGTGTCACGGTCCTATCAGATGGCGAGGTGTCAGGTCTCGGGAGAAGCACGCGTGCTGGGAGGCAAAGCAAGCCTCAGTGAAAAAATCAGAGAGAGGCACCTCCCAGCCCCGCCCGCCGCCCACCGCCTCATGCAGGCACTTGGTCCTGTCTGTTTCTAGCTCCTCTGTGCACCGTGGAGGAAGCTGGTGACGCTGCTGACGTAACACAGTCCTTAGGAGAAAGTTTCAAAACTTCAAATAACCAGACAGTCTGGTCACTGTGTCCGTCCATTGTTTTCATGGCTTCGCTGTTTAAAGGATCCCTGAAATGCTCGGAATGCAGGGAGGATCATCTCCAAAAGAAGTACCGTTGGCAACAAACCTCTGGAGAACTCAGGCGGGCGGCCTCCGTGCAGCCCCCGCTGGTGCCAAAGGAGCCCCCGTACCCATCCCATGAGGTGCCCGAAAACCAACGGAGACCAGCCAGTAGGTACGACTACCCCAGGCTTCTGGTGACCTACCCAATCGTGTGCCCCCTAACATTTCTTTCTTCTTAGCTGCCAAGAGAAAATTTTAATCAAGATAAAATATTCTCTAACTGGTACTAAAACCTTAAGCCTAAGCACACAGATACACCTAGACAGTGTTTTCCCCAGGAACAGAGGCTTGCACCCTGCCTGGCAGCCATCCCTGAAAAACAGATCCTACAGGCAGTGACGTCATGTCACAGCATCCGAGGAGCAACGCTGATCAGAAACCCCCCGGACAACTGCAGCCCAGCCAAGGTGTTTCATGCTCCCATCACCACAGAGCATCGGGGAATGCAAAGTATCAGAGAAGTTTCCCGGAATCAAACCCGCCTTCCTCGGGAAGAGAAGTTTCGGTTCCACGAGAGAGAAGTGTGTTTACCTATTTGCTAAACTGAAAATTCTTTATGAGCAAAGCCACACTGTAATGTCCCCTCTGCCCACCTCCACCCTGCCCTTCCCCCCCAAACCCACCCGCCTTCACGCAGACCTGTGCTTCAGCTAACTCTCCGTCTTCTTTTACCCAGGCCCTCCCGCCCTCCTCTGGCATCCATATCTGTTCTCGTAGCGTTTCTGAAGGCTGAAAGCCGCTACGAGATGTCGTCCCTTCCCGCCGCAGCTGCAGGAGCCGTCACTGTCCCCTGCACTAGCAGGAGGCGAAGAAGCCGCAGAGCAGGCCTCTTACACAAACAGGACAGGCGAGGCCTGGCCCAGAGCCCTTTCTGGAAGAGGCTGAGACACAAACCCCGTCCGGCCAGGTGCCAACAGCATAGCAGCTCTGTGAGCTCCCTTTGTCTGAAGTCCCCATTCCAGGCTCTGCGGTGACATGTGAGGTGGGAAACGCAGGGACCATCAGGTAAACCCGCAGGGAAACGGCTGCTCCCCTGGCACCTCCCTGGCACAGTGCGCGAGCGCACGCATGGCGCGGAGAAACCCAGAAAGCGCAGAGGCCGGCCCGGTCCCACCCGAGCCCGCGGAGCCGGTGCTGAGCGCACCGAGCCGTCTCCTCCTGAGCCCACTCCTGGGATATTTCTGCACCGGGAGGGAGCGCCGCTTTCTGCAGTGGCCAAGGCATCGAGTGTCCCCGGGAAAGGAAATACTCACTCTGACCACGTAGCTGAACCTGCGCACGTCCTGCACGGCGCTCGAGAAGTCCAGGCGGGTGAAGGCCTCCCCCAGGGTGCAGTAGCCGTGCCGCTGGAAGACAAGCAGTCAGTCAGCGCGGACGCACGCAAAGCCAACGACGCTCAGTGTGGGCGAGTCTGTGCCAACTGTTTTTTAACCGTCAGCAAAGGACAGTGTCTACTATGATGCAGACACACCCAGGTGAGTGGCGTCCATCACGCCGAAGCTGACCTACCATCGTGCATCACTGAGGCAGCACAGACACCCTCACCCCGCGGGCAGGACGACAAAGACGGACCCATCACGCATCTCGCCGATTTCTTTTGTTGGGACACATTTGGGGGGAGGGCCAATGAAGCCTGCAATCATACGATAAGTGGGAATATTCTCGGCTACGACACTGCGAGCACGCCCAGCAGGCGGCTGCTGTGAAGGGCCACTATGAACACGACCGCTGAGAATGTGACTGCTCGCAGGAGTCCCGAGGTCTGAACGTTTGCCCAACACACAGGCTGAAGGCAGAGGGGGAGGGCGGAGGCGGGGCGATGTGACTACGGGACAGGGCCTGCTCAGCACCCAAACCCCAAAGCTGGAATTAGACCCAGGTCCAAGAGTAAAAAAAATGAACAAAGTCAGTCTTTTATTTTTACTTTTTAAAACATATACCTATATATATACTTAATATATATATTATTGATTTCAGAGAGGAAGGGAGATAGAACATCAATGAGGAGAGAGAATCATTGATTGGCTGCCTCCTGCACGCCCCCTACTGGGGGTTGAGCCCACAAGAGCATGTGTTCTTGACCAGGACCAAACCCAGGACCCTCAGTCCGCAGGCTGATGCTCTATCCATTGAGTCAGTCTTTTAAAGAGTGAAACACCACTCTCTGCATAGATGGTTTTCTCCATGATGCACCTGCATTCCGATTGGTTTGTACATTAGGTGTCACTTTAAAGTCTACCTTCGGTATTTGAAATACGAAGAGTATAGAAAGAGATATTCAATTCAGAGTCGTGGGACAGACAAACTGGGGGCCAATCACAGAAAACCCCAGGGTGGCAGGGGAGGGTCTAGAAGAGGAGGCTCACCCTAGCGCAGCTAAGACACATGGGAAGGGCTGGTGGTTTGTGCAAGTCCCAAGAACAGTTGCACAAACCAACAAGATGCATTCATTCACAGCACTCAATACCTATTTTTATGGAGTATCTACTGTACACAAAGTATTTTCTGGGGGGCTGTGGGGGAGCAAAGCCCAGACAGAACCTGAACTTGATCCCAGCTGGGACTTCTACTCCAATGTCTTCTCAATGAACAGAGCTCTGTGTGCTGGTGTAGGAGACTCCTGTCCAGGCAGCCCCTTCTCACAACAGCCTCTTCTGTTGGGGGACTTAAATCTGATCCACAGAGCGGACAGCACATCGCACGTCTGAACCACATGAGCTCGCCACCTGGTGGGGGCCTGGAGCCATGCAGTCAGGCGCTCAGTGTCTGTGGGCGGCCAGTCGGCCATATAGACGGGCAGCAGAGATACCTGGTCCATCCAGGTGAGAAGACTGACAGCCGAGTTAGGCCGAGACAGCTGGCGAGAGAAGTGCCAGCTCTCAGTCCGTCCCTGCTCCCGCCCTGAGCTGATTACACTGTGCTCCTGGGATCCACAGATCCACCGGCACCTGCAGACTCACATTAAGTTCTGTTCGGTTGCTTGCGCTGGCCTAAGTTGGTTCTCTTTTCTGCCATCAGTGTGGTAACACAGAGCAAACGAAATATGAAAGAGTCTTAAGTCAGCTCAAGTTATGTTAGATTCTGCCAAACATTCGTGTAATGATGCACTAGACTGTATGCGAAGGATTAGTCCCTCTGTACCCACTAAAAATGTTAACCGCCACCAAGGAGTCAAATACGTTCTGTCTCAGAAGCTGGGCCAGTCTCAGGTCACCCACTACTAACGCCTCTGGAACAAGTAACTTACGCCAACGGAATGTATACTAAACAATTACTCCCCAAATCATTCCCCAGTGGCTGCAAAATAAGGCAAGTGCCAAGTTCCTCAGACTGCAAAGCAGGTAAGCTTCCCGGGCACTAAGCAGAGAGAAAGGAAACAGGTGGAAGTGAGTGGACTGTTTCATGGCTCATAGCAACACTTCCCCAACTCGGCAAAGCAAAGGAGGGGAAAGGTTCACTGCTCTTTGCCCAGTCACAGTCAGTTACGACGTCACGTCAGCTGCCCGGCCTGGGAAAGGAGGGTTAGAGTTCTCCCCATCCCAGCCCGGCAGGCCCACGAAGCCCCCTGCCAGCAGCAGGGCTCCGCAGGAGCAGCTCTTGGGAGAGCAGGCCCACCCTTGTTCTGTTTATTCAGGTTTGTGCCAGGGGCACCGACCACACACACACACAGACGTCTTCACAGGGTTGATGTTGCAAAAGAAGTAACTTATTTAATGTGAAGTTACATGTTCAACAGGACAAAACATATACGCTTACTCACAACAGAATACTTACTTCTCTTGTGCTTTCTTTGTGGACATAGATCCATTTTTCACGAAAAAAACCTAGAACAGAAATTAACTTTGTTTTTAAAATCTGGGGAATAATTTCAAAATGAAGATTTTCAGAAACTTAAAATAGTTGCATAAGTTAACAAAATTATCTGATATACAGATTGAGATGCCTTTACTTGTTAAATGTGAACAGAAAAATTCTTTGTTTCTTTTTTTCTAAATTTAATTTTATTGATTTCAGAGAGGAAGGGAGAGGGAGAGAGAGATAGAAACATCAATGATGAGAAAGAATCATGGATCGGCTGCCTCCAGCACGCCCACATTGGGGTCAAGCACACAACCCAGACATGTGCCCTGACTGGGAATCAAACCATGACCTCCCAGTTCATAGGTCAATGCTAAGCCACTGAGCCACACTGGCTGGGCAAATTCTGTTTCCTAACGTTAGTTTAAGAAGTGCTGAAACACATCTTTACATGAAATATGATTTTCAGACAGTGCCAACTTTTAGTAACTTAGAAGAAAATTAGTTACTAATGACTATAAACATGAAAACATAATTATAAAAGTACAATCAATAAAAAGTCCTATTCTTCTGTCCTTGCCTTTAAATTGTATTTGATTTAATTAAATTTTTTCATGTAACTGAATCCTAAAGCTTTAAGGGTCATAACTCCCCCCCACACAGGGCCCGACCTTCCTCAGCAGACTGACTACACGGGAGCACTCCTCACAACTTACAGAGGCGCTCAGGGCAGAGCAGGGGCGGCACAGGGGAGTGCCTGCCTCCCCCAGGGGCTCACCAGCTCTGACCACCTTTGTGTCTTGCTCCGAACAGCAGTGCCTCCTGCACAAAAGTCCAAAGTCAAGACGCCTCAGGCTGGGCCTCAGTGCCTGGCAGCAAACCGATGGCGACCACTGTTCGGTCGCTCAGATGTGCGAGCTCTGTAGTGGGTTTGCTACCCTTTGTTTTGTTTCTGCCAATCTTACTAACAAAATGGTTGAGCATCAACCCATGAACCAGGAGGTCATAGTTTGCTTCCCAGTAAGAGCACATGCCCAGGTTTCGAGCTCAATCCCCAGTAGGGGGTGTGCAGGAGGCAGCCAATTAAGGATTCTTTCTCATCATTGATGTTTCTATCTCTCCCTCTCCCTTCCTCTCTCCGAAATCAATCTATATATATAAAAAGCCAGCGACCATAATGCCATAACGACCGGTCGCCATGATGCCCACTGCAGCCAGAGAACCAGCCCGATCAGATACTCCTGCAGGTCACTGATTCCCCAATTGGCCCCCCCACTCCATTCGGGGGCAGAGCCAGCCAGCCCACTGCTCATAGCCTTTCCCCACGGCCAACCCCACCCCCAATCAGCTCCCACTATCCCTATGGGCCTGCAGCCCTTTCCCCAGCCAGTTCCGCCCCTGATCAGCCCCCCCACACCAATAGGGAGTGGGGCTGGCCGGCCAACCTCCCACAGACCCTCCCACAGCCACTGACCCCCAATCGACCCCACCACCCCATTTGGGGGCAGGGCCAGCCAACCCACCATTCACAGCCCCTCCCCAGGGCCACCCCTGCCCCCAGTCTGCCCCCTCACCCCAATCAGGGGCAAGGCCTGCTGGCCAATCACCCATGGCCACTCCCCCCAGCCAGCCCAGCCCTGATGGGGCCCTGATCGGTGGGTGGGCCAACTAACCACCCACCGTCTCCTCCTCCTAACAGGCCTGGCCCCAATCCGCTCTGATTGGGGCAAGGCCAGCAGGACCCCACCTGTACACAAATTCTTGCACTGGGCCTCTAGTTAAAGCACATTTTTTAAAAACACAAAAAAATGATTGAGCTGCAAAAGCTTTGATCACTAGTCCTGTGGGCAACACTGGAGAAGGACTATTAAGACCTCTGGGCCGCCTTTCCTGTGCATGTGTGGAAGTGACTTAGTGTGCCAACATATTCCAGTAAAATATAACATGTTAAACATGATCTTACATTGAGTATTGCTGTCGTTTCTAAAATGGTCCTTTTTCCTTTTCTTGGATGCATATCCATGCTCCTCACTAGTAAATATGTCGTCATCTTCACTATTCAGGATTCTGAAATAAAGATAGATTTTATTAAAATATATCTATAGGGAGATCTTCATTTGGCTTATCTTTTAAAAAATGATAGTATCTGGCTTGCAATTTAGGAGATCAAAATAAAAACCTTGTTGAATTCTGAAAGCAAGCTGTTCATTTTCAAAGCGACACATCACAGCTCAGCATTACACAGCTAATGTCTAATGTATTCTTTTTCTTTTGAGAAACCTAAGACTTATCTCGGTTCTTCTGAGAATGCTAGCCCAGGAAGTGCGAGGCATGTTCCAGTGTCCCAAGGGTTTTCATGTGCTCATGCGGTTTCAGACTTCAAAATGCTTCATTAAGACAGGGAGATTACAGCCCTAACCAGTTTGGCTCAGTGGATAGAGCGTCAGCCTGTGGACTAAAGGATCCCAGGTTCGATTCCGGTCAAGGGCATGTACCTTGGTAGCAGGCACATCCCCAGTAGGGGGTGTGCAGGCGGCAGCTGATCGATGTTTCTCTCTCATCGATGTTTCTAACTCTCTATCCCTCCCCCTTCCTCTCTGTAAAAAATCAATAAAATATTTTTTTTTTTAAAAAAGAAGTGCCTTCCTTTTAAAAAAAACAAAACTGGGAGATTATAAACAAAACTGGAAACACTCTGGGAACGTTAATGTGAAGGGTCATACCTGACAATAACTAATGATTTGCCACATCCCCGATCCAATGTGAACACTGGCCATAAAGGACCTGTTAGCGCAGATGGACTTCACATACACGGAATTTTCCATGCAAAAGCAAGAGAACATTCTGCTCAAGCACACAGGGAACATTTCCCAGGACAGATCATATGTTGAGCCACAAAACAAGTCTTTAAGTAATTAAGATTGCAATCATATCAAGTGTCCTGGTCAGTGTGCTCAGTGGTTAAAACATCAGTCATGCATTAAAGTGTCTCAGGGCACGTACCTGGGTTGCGGGTGTGACCCCCGCCCCAGTTGGGGTGAGTGCTGGAGGCAGCCAATCCAGGTGTCTCTCTCACATGGATGTTCCTATCTCTCTCTCTCTCTCGCTCTTCCCCTCCCTCCTCTTCCCTTCCACTCTCTCTAAAGATCAATAGAAAAAATATCCTTGGTTGAGGATAAAAAAAAGAAGAAATCATATCAAGTACCTTTTCTGACCACGATTTATGAACTTGAAACCAATTACAAGAATAAAACAGGAACATCACAAATATGTGATTACACAACACGCTATTGAACAACCAGTGAGTCAAACAGGAAATCAAAAGAGAAATTTTAAAAATACCTTGAGACGAATGAAAATGGAAATACACCAAAACTTATAGGATGCAGCCAAAGCAATTCTAAGAAAGGGTTCCCGTGATAAAAGCCTCAACAAGACACAAGAAAGCTTTCAAATGAGCACCTAACTTCACACATCAAGGAACTAGAAAAAGAAAACAAAGGAAATGAAGAACAGAGCAAAAATAAACAAAATAGAGATTTAAAAAAAATCAATGAAACTAGGAGCTGGTTTTTTAAAAAACATAAAACTGACAAAGCATTTAGCTCAGAAAAAAAGACTCAAATAACCAGAAATGAAGGAGACGTCACAACTCAAGCTCCTCACGTACGAAGGACAGAGACTCGATGTGAACAGGCTGGGCAACCTCCAAATGACAGCGCGGGTCTGAAACCCACCACCTGCCCACTCTAAGCCACCAACCAGAACCTGAGCAGACGGACTCCCAACCTGCTGACAAAGTCATGTCCAGGGCCAGACGCCTCCTGGCAAATCCCAAACACCGAAGATCTACTGTGGGCCCTGTCGCACTCTCCCAAGCACAGGAGCCTCGCCCGCAGGCAGGCCCAGTCCCCTCCCCCTGACTTCTCCAGGCCCTGGGCTCAGCGCAGTCCTCTCTGGCAGCTCCAAGGCGATTTCTCTGAAGCAAATGTTTTCATGCCTTTTCTTTGGTTAAAAAGGCACTTGCTCACTCTTATCCATGTCATTGCTTTTCACTCTCTCACAGCCCAAAGCCCCTCAAACATTACACACAATCTACATTTCTCCTGTGCAGAACAGGATCTCTGCTGGAGAAGAACTCGCCCTTCTCCTGCCACACAGGTCAGGACGAGGATGCACCTGCTGGCTTGTCACTGACACAGGCGGCAGGACAGACCTCCGAGTCCAGATGCATCCCCGCGGGCAGGCAGGTACACAAATGCCCTGGGTGCATGCTGGTCTGATGCCGGTGCCAGCTTTCGAACCACATTTTCCTTCCTAGTCACTGAAGAAGACGATGTAAGGAAGGCATCAGGCTGTCACTGAAAGCCGCACATCCCCCAACAGCCCGCGGGAACACCACCACCACCAGCAGAGCCTGTGTAGGAGTAAAGGAGTGGGACAGGAGCTTTCCCAGACTGGGGCTGAGGCCTCGGGGCACAGTTCTTACTTCCAGGGCTAGTGGGCCCCTGGATTCTCTGACCTGGTGGTGACCAGAGACTGTTTTTGCATTTTTGTAAGGGAACCAAAAATGCAGTTTGTTACCTTTTTTCCTTGGAAGACCCACAATTTAAAAATGTTTGTGTGTTTTCTTTTCTTTTTTTAAATATATTTTTATTGATTTTTTACAGAGAGGAAGGGAGAGGGATAGAGAGTCTGAAACATCGATGAGAGAGAAACATCAACCAGCTGCCTCCTGCACACCTCCCACTGGGAATGTGCCCGCAACCAAGGTACATGCCCTTGACCGGAATCGAACCCGGGCCCTTTCAGTCCGCAGGCCGATGCTCTATCCACTGAGCCAAACCGGTTTGGCATTGTGTGTTTTCTTAGAGAATCCCACTCTTGGGATATCTTGGGTACGACTAGAGTTGAAGATAATCTTCATGGACTCCCAGGTCTCCGATACCTCCACTGCTATGCCCAGTGAACCAAGTAACCAAAATAAATCATAAAATATTCACATTCGGACAGGAAGCTGAATGTGAATGAGATGTAAGTAAAAACAATGCAGTGAAGATTTAATAAGTTAAACGCAAAGGGGAAACCCTAGAAGGGTCCTGTTCGGGCAGCGCAGGACACAGTGCATGTGGCCTTGCGCCTCCGTGCCATCTCAGCTTCCCAGAGCCCACAGGGAACGGCACTGAATCCCCGGGCAACGCTATGGACTCCATAGACAGGACCCCACACTGCGCCTCAAGGCCCTCCTTCACAAAAACCAAGCCAAAACCGCAGACAAGGGCCTTCTGGTGGAATTCCAAAAACACGCCCACCGACACCTGCTCGCCAGCGCTCCCACAACCGCCTGTGCCCGTGGCCCTGAACCTTCCATGGACCCGGTCGGTCGGGGGACAGAGAGGAGCCTGGCTGGCTGGCCTCACCATGGAAGGTCTTTTCTTTCCTCACAGCACTGGCTTCCATGGTGTCGGGCAGTGACCCTCGCGCGGTAACAATGCAGCATCTACGTGTGAGAACCAGGCAATGTCCTGGCTCAGACCTGAGCTACATAACGTCCTCCCTCCCACCAGCCTTGGGCGAGGGCAACTCGCAGCCAAACGACAATGACAGAGCTTTGCAGCGCCTGGAAGAGGAAATGAACCCTGGGCGCCAGGCGGGCCGCAGGGCTGCGCGTACATGCTGTGCGGGACGCTGCGCTCGGCACTCTCTTGGTCCAGGTCCTGCCGCCAGGGCTCACAGCGCTTCCAGCCGTCCTCCGTTTTAACCCAGCTCCATCCAGGAGATCGCCAGTCCTGGCCCAGAAACGGCATCGCTCTGTAAAAACAGTTGATTCACGTTTAAAATGTATGAGTAATTGGCAAGTTTCGTTTCACTGAGATCACTTCTCATTAATCTTTACAAAGTAAGTGTTTACTTAATATTTAAATATCTGCACAGGCATTAAGTGCTGGTGTGACATGGGGGATAAAGCGGTGGTGATAACAGTGCCTCGGCAGCGGGCAGCGGGCAGCGCTGAGTGACAGTCTGGGATGCGGAGTGGTGGGTTTACTAGCTCCATGCTGCTCAGTCAGGTCATCAGGGGCTGGGTCCCAGCTGGAGAACAGGGGGGGGGGGGTAATGACGGGAGCATTATCCCACACGAGCGCTCTCTTCGCCAGAAATCGGAGCAACATAAAGGAAGCATGTTCATGTCCATCACCTGTAGGCAGTTTGATCTGGTTGAAGCTTAATGAGCAGTTGAGGGTGGAGAAGTGATGGGGGACAGTCAGGCAGAGTCCGAGGGCCCAGAAAGGACCCTCCAGGTGAGTGATTGGATCACACCCGAGCTTTACATACAAACTGGGGTCACACTGTGAAGACCAGACTGAGGGTGCGCCCGGAGGAAACAGTTAGGACTAGAGGCTACGGAATATTGGCCTGTAAGCGATGAGAGGGCGTGGCTGCAGGAGGAACAGTGGGAGGAGGAACCACTGAGGAGGGGGAGGCCATCGGGGGGCTTCTCTCTGTGCTCCCCCAACTCCCAGGGACGTCAGTGACAAGGATGTGAGCTCCCAGCAAAAGGACCCGGTGCCCGACCGGCTGGAACAGAGAAGAGGGCTGGACATGCCTGTGGGCTTTGCTGTGCCTGTGGTGACAGCCACTACACTAGACTCCAGGTATAAAAATAGGACTTAAAATGAACCCTAAAGCTTAGGAACCGATGAGAGTGAGACCTGGAATACCAGCTCTCCCACTGCCTCCAGCTGCCTGCCCTGACCTTGCTGGGCCCGAAGTCGGGAAGCATTCACAGCTCCCGCGCTGCCCGCTGCCCCTCCCAGGTCTCTCGGCCCTGATGAGTGATGGCACAGTGGGAGGCGCTGTCTGGAACACATATGCGGTTCCTGTCTGTCTTCCTCCAAGAAAACGCCATGTCTTGTTCAGCTCTGTGACCCGCCTACGGTGAACAGTGCCCGCACACGCAGGGGCTGGGTAACACCAAGTGAGCACAGGCACCACAGACCCATGGCCAGGAGAGAGCAGGCTGGAGAGCACAGGACGCAAGCACACGCGGCATCAGAGCCCCCGGTGCGCCATCAGAGAGGAACAGAGTCCGCGAAGACTGCATCTAGAGGACACGCAGAGGAAGATAGCCCAGGAAGGAAGCTGAAAGGAAGAGGCTTTCAGGGAGGGAGAGCAGGATGTCAAGAGAACAAAGTATTTTAAGAAAGAAATGATGTACAAAGAGGAAAATGTTATAAAGAAGCCAGTACTGTAAGAATTGAAAGTTATACACTGAGTTTAGCTACAACACAGTAGCTGATCACCCAACCAAAAATAGTTTCAACAGAATAATGTGTTATATTACTCTGAGGTCCCAACGCGGACTCGGCGTATTTCACAAATGTGGAGTATTTACAGGGCACATGAGATGGAAATGTTCAAATACAATCTCCAACTATGTTCGGTCTGACTCACGCAGGTTATTAAATAGGCATTTACAATGGCTCAGAGGAGACAAAATTCTCAGAAGGAAATGATAAGTCTTCCACAGGATTCCTGGGTCAGCTAGCTACCAGTGCTCAGCTCCTGAACGGATGTACGAAATGTGTGCTGAAGAGAATCCCCAAACCAGCTAAACTGATTTATAACCAGAACACATCTCCTTCAGTCATATATTAATTTAAGTTCCTGCTTTAGAAGACACTTAAAATCACTCCTTAAGTCTTAACACTATTTTGACAAGCCTCACCTTTCAGACTGGCTTCACAGCCCAGCCCCACTGGCATGCAAAAGCCGCCAGCAGGCCCAGCCATCGGCAGGATCATCTAGGGCAGCGGTTCTCAACCTTCCCAACGCCGCGACCCTTAATACAGTTCCTCATGGTTGTGGTCACCCCCAACCATAAAATTATTTTCATTGCTACTTCATAACTGTAATTTTGCTACTGTTATGAATCGTCATGTAAGTATCTGATATGCAGGATGTATTCTCATTGTTACAAATTGAACATAATTAAAGCATAGTGATTAATCACAAAAACAGTATGTAATTATATATGTGTTTTCTGATGGTCTTAGGCGACCCCCATGAAAGGGTCATTCGACCCCCAAAGGGTCGCAACCCACAGGTTGGCGACCCACAGGTTGCGAACCGCTGATCTAGGGCATGTGCTGTTTTATTTTCATAAAGCTTCAGGTACAGGCCAGAGAAGACTCTACAAAAGGCAAGTCCTGCAATGTAGTCTCATAAGAAACACACCAAAGAAAAGTGTCTGTTAGGACCATCTTTGACTGTCAAAGTATCAAAGTATCTTTCAATATCATTCCATGGATTCAGAATCTGTGATTAAAAACGAAAAATCTGGTGGCAACTGTGCAGAATATTGCTAAACAGACCAACTAAATACAGGATTACTCCAATGACAAACCTGTAAGCACAGAACAAATGTATTACTATGCTATCTGCACCTTCCCTAAGTGTGCACCATCTAGCTGAGAAACTAAAAAGAGAGAGAGAGAAAACCACATACAATAATATTAATACATGCAGATATATATAAAACATATACAAATATATACATACTAGAGGTCCAGCGTGCATGAAACGTGCGCAGTTAGAGTCCCTGGGCCTAGCCTGGCCTCCGTCACATGGCCTCTGTCACCCTGAAACGCTAGGTGAAGTTCCCCGCCCCAAGATGCTCTGCAAACCTGCGACTGCTCCGCGAGGCTTGCTGCCGCCCCGCGAAGCTCACTGCTGAATGCTCCGTGAAACTCCCTCTCCCCTGACCCCGTGACTGCTCTGTGAAACTCGCTGCCCTCCCATGACTGCTCTGCTAAACTCACAGCCACCCCGCGAAGCAGCCCGCCACCGCCGCTCAACAGTCCCCAGTCCCACCCCACCGCCAGCACCCCCCATAGTGAGCGGCTCGGGGGCTTGGGGGGTGGGGGGTACCGAGAGGTGCTCCATGCACTTCATGGTGACCAGTCGCCCGTTCAGTTGTGACGGCACCTAGCTCTTTATATATATTAGGATGTGCAATTCTGTAATGTGGGTTCTGAATGAGTAGTAGAGAGGGAATAACTGAAAGAAATTCAGAGAAAAAAGCAAACCCCTGGGAAACCTCTGAAAAGAACAGAACATGAGCTCAGCCTTGAAGCTCAGTGAGGCCTTCAGTGAATGGAGAGGCAAAGACAACATACCAATCACCGAAGTGGCAGCGGGGAAAACCTGCAGATGGGAATGTCCATGACTCGTGTGAGAATACTGAGCAGAACAGGTTGGCTGAAATAGAGAAAGCTACAGAAGGTTGCTAGAGAGAAACTAAGATTGGTGACTAGAAGCCACATCAGAGAATGTTGACTATCAAAGGTATTGGGACCTTATTCTCTGACTGGAGGCCTGGTGCATGAAATTCGTGCACGGGTAGCCCATCAGGGCTGATTGGGGCCTTCCAGCTGCTGGCCGGGGCCTTCCTTCCCCCCATTACTGGCTGCCAGCTGGGGCCTTCCCTCTTTCCATGCCACCCCTGGTGGTCAGTGCACATCATAGTGAGCAGTCGAACTCCCAGTCGGTCAAACCCCCGAGGGGACAATTTGCATATTAGCCCTTTATTATAGAGGGTAATTAAAAGTTTTAAAGCCATGTAGCAACATACACAGAAACTGTTTTAAGAATTACTTGCCGCCTTAACTGGTTTGGCTCAGTGGATAGAGCGTCAGCCTGTGGACTGAAAGGTCCCAGGTTTGATTCCGGTCAAGGGCATGTACCTTGGTTGCGGACACATCCCCAGTAGGGGGTGTGCAGGAGGGAGCTGATCGATGTTTCTCTCTCATCGATGTTTCTAACTCTCTATCTCTCTCCCTTCCTCTCTGTAAAATAATCAATAAAATATATATTTAAAAAAAACAAAATAAAATAAATTAGAATGAGGATGACCCATCACTTTTTGAGAATTTATGTATCTGTTCTGCCACAGACCTGAATTGCTAGAGTTTTATAATATACGTTTATTTTAATTAAAATTACCTTTGAGATTTTCAAAATGCAGAAATAAAAACTAGAAATCACTGTTGAAAATTAAATGTGTAAGAGCAACTATTGAAAAGGTGGGGTCCAGCTGTGAAACAGCTGGTACAATTTCCAATTTTATGCCAACTGATGCGAGAGAGCACACGTGCTCAAACCCAGCTAAACCTCCCCTTCATCTCGACTTCACGGGCAGAGAAGAGGGTGGGGCGTTTGAGGGACAGGGCCTCAGGAAGTTCACTTGCAGTGGAAATTCCTGACACGAGAGCATCAGACTCATCAGGAAACGCCTCTCCTTCAGCAAGCATACTTTTTGTAACTAATGCGAACAGCAGACATTTATTAGATCTTAGTCTGGGTAAGGCATTACTCTAACCGTTTACCTGTCTGATCTCCTCTACAGGACCTGACAAGGCAGACAATGTTCTCACTCTCATCTCACAGGTTAATTCTCCCATCTGTCAGTTAAAAAACAGGGGCCAACAGCTGGCGAAGCGGCATTTACACTGGTGGACTGCCACTCCAGGCTCGATGCGTATTTTTGTAACAGCACAGCCTGAAGGCCTTATGAAACAGAGGTCACAGAACTGTGGAGTTTTTCTTCTCATTCACCTTATGTTACACATATACCAGAAATAAGCTAACGTAACCACAGATCCTTCCTATATAATAAAAGGGTAATATGCAAATCGACCGAATGGCAGAACGACCAGTTGCTATGACACACACTGACCACCAGGGGGCAGACACTCAACACAGGAGATGCTGCCTGGTGGTCTGGGAATGCAGCTCAGCCAGAAGCTGGGCTCATGGCTGGTGAATGCAGCAGGAGTGGCGGGAGCCTCTACCACCTGGGAATCTTTTTAAAATCCTGATTTCTGGGCCTCATCCTCCGGAAATTCTGTTTCCTTGTTATGGGGTGGGGCCACAATATTAGTAACAAAGAAACAGAATTTCCGGAGGATGCGGCCCAGAAATCAGGATTTTAGAAAGATTCCCAGGTGATTCTAAGGCATCAGGAAGGTTGAGAACCACTGCTCTAAGCAAAGCTAAAGACCCCTGGGGGGATGTCCGACTGCCGGCTTAGGCCTGCTCCCCGGGGAAGGCAGACATCCCCCAAGGGGTCCTGGACTGCCAGAGGGCGCTGGCAGGGCTGAGGGACACCCCCTCCTGCCCCCCCCTACCCCCAGTGCACGAATGTCCTGCACCCACCAGGCCTCTAGCTTAAAAATAAAAACACCAAGACAAGGAAAACCTGACAGGAAACGTAACTCAGTACACTTTCAAAGGCTGCCCTGGGCAGTGCACCCTCGGACCAAAGTGTCTCAGGTTCAATTCCTGGTCAAGAGCACGGACCTGGGCTCAGGTTTGATCCGGGGCCCAGGGGCCAACCAGTCAGTCTCTCTCTCTCTCTTTCTCTCTCTGCCCCCCTCCCTCCCTTCTATCTCGAAGAAGAAGAAAAATCAATGGAAAAAATAAAAATATCCGTGGGTGAGGGAGGATTAACAAAAAAAGGCAAGACTACATATGTTTTCTACTTGTTTTTCGGTTAGAGGAGCAACTCAGTCAGGCATCCATCAGTAAGTACGTGTGAGTGTGAGCAGGAGCCACACCATGAACAGACCGCCACCAAGGACAGCGCGTTGCAGGGCAATGTGAAGGCGCTTTCGGAGCAAAAACCTGGCAAAGGAGGCCCCTTATGTGTCATTTTCATCATCGGTTTTGAAAAAGTCAGTTTCGTTGCTGTCAGAGTCACCGTCCGCTTACCATCCGGCCTTTCTCACTGCTCTGCGCTCCCCACAAAGCTCCTCACTGAGGACCTAACGCTGATGGGGGTTCCAAGTGCAGGTCCTGGACCGGGAAGGACGTGAGGACTGAACCGAGGGCTGGGGCCGCGCTGCTCGCTGCCCTGGCCCGGGAGGGACCCCCGCTGGGTGCGGCCCTGGAGGGACCCGCTCTGGGTGCGGCCCGGGAGGGACCCCCG